AGATGTACCCTGGTGCGGCAGCAGGTACAACGGTAATCTTACCAGAAAGCTCGCTCACGACGGCTCTCAGAGCCTCTCCGCCCGCCACTGCATCGCGTAGCCCTCCCATGGCCCCCGTGATATCCTCTGTGAAACGGGCCATGTCGTCGACTATGCGAGCGATGTTGGGTTCGTCGCCTCTCTCCACCTGAGCCGCCGCACGGCAAAACTCAACATGCGATTCGCACAGTCGTCCGATGTCGGCATGTAGGGTTCGTAAAACGCAAAGACTTTCGCGCGCCACCTCGTGTTCTGCCGCAAGATCTCGGGCGAGAGTCTCCAGCTTGCTGAGCATGTCGTTTGCTGGCCTCGTGTCCACGAGGGCGTCCCTGACTTCGGCGAGCAAGTCGTGCAGCGCCTGCACGCCGTGTTTCACTCCGCCGTCACCCAGGAGTGCCGCTTCCAGACTCCGTGCCTGCGCTCTGTTGTCATCGAGCGAGGCGGAGATGCCGTGCAATGAGTCGTGCACCTGCTGGGCAGCACGCGCCGTACCCTCGCCTGATGCAGCGAGCGACGCCTGCAGCGTCCGCAAAGCGTCGCCCTGCCGCACAACCTCAGTTGACAGCCTCGCCAGCGACCCGTTCATATCCCTTGTGGCTTCTTCCCATCGCTCGTTTGTGGCCGCATCATCGGCCCGTAGCTTCGATTGAATGCCCGCGATGGCCCTGCCATGATTGTTCATGCGGACCGCGGCAAAATTCCAGAGTTTTGCCACCTCAGCCAACGAGGCAGGGGCAGGGGCAGGTGGAGGGTGTAGTGAACCGGGTGGCCAAAGGTTGGCAGAAGGCGCAGCACGTTGAGCGTTCCCCTGCCATTGCCATGGCTGCTGCGGTGGCTGCTGAGCCATTCCTGGACGTGCGCCCTGGCAGGATGTTGTTCGCGGCGTGTCTCGAGCAGCTGAAGTGACATATATGGTGACGGAGTCCAATGCGTCCGTGGAAGGATGGGCAGTATCTGCCATTTATGGGGTAACGATGCGTGGTGGACGGCGTTACGGCCTGCGGTTCGGTGGTGGGATTCGACATCGGCGGGATTCAACACCTCCCCGACTATGACCACAAGCACGGCACCAAGTACTACCACCACTGCCCATACGGCACAGCTCTAGTTGTACTGTACTGTGCAGTACTGTACAATACTTACAGCACAACACTGCGCTTCCTGCCCGTGCTGCCTACTGAAGTTGCCGTGGCGCGGTTAGGCAGGTCGCCTCACGTGGTACCCTCCCGTTGTCCGTACACAGGTCTTCGACCACGAACAAGGCGCGCGCTGTTGGGGTGAAAGTTCGAGCCTCGTGCGCTCACGCAGGGCACCGCATGCGTCGTAGAAGCTTCCAGGTTGATGTCTTCCGCTTTCACGCCACAGGAGCTACTGTACTGTACGACACCTGGACGCCAAGTGTCGAGAGGTTTCCCCTCCTTGTTCGGTCGAAATATCTAGCGCCAATCTTGCGGACAACGAGCTGCGTGCAAACTCACGCGCGGCACGCGGGCCGTCAGCGGGTGGAGAACCAAGCCGCACCCGTGTCTCGTCATCTATGCCTAAAGGCCGATGGATGGGGCACCGTAGGAATGCGAGCATCAGCCTCGACAGGGCGGCGTGGAATGAGGTACAGTAGTTGGCCTCGACAGTCAGAAGCATGAGTGCACATGGCGAAATGACATGCCTGGCTCCTGCGAGCGCGCCCCCCAGCCACAGCCGCTGACCGGGACGACTTTCCCACCGTTGGCTATGGGCGACAAGTGGAGAGCGGAACCTTCTTACTTAACTCCGGTCGGCTGGTGCGAGTATGTTTGGAAGGGGGTGGATGCGTAGACTTGACGACCCCCATGGTCGACCCGGCTCGGCACAAGCGAGCGCGACAGCCCGTCACCACCGTGGCGACGGCGCTCGATGTGAAGAGCAATACGGCGCCGAGATCCTCCTTGTTGCAGGAGCACCATCATAAAAGACAGTAAATGGTCGCTGAGGTTGCTCAAGCCGCGCCAGAGGGTGCAACCGAAGTTGATCCACGCAGGCCGGCAACCCCAGTTTGCTCACTGCAAGTTCAAGCCCAACAGCCATGGCCGGCGGCGCTTTACAACACACTTAAGGCCTCCGGAGTGCTGCACTAGCGCAAAACAGCCAGCCTAAAAAGCGGCTTGGCGGTACCTGAGTCGCGGTTGCCGGCTCCGCTGCGGGCTCACGTCCAACCTTACCCGGGGTTTTGTGGCGATCTCAATCGAGTGCCGGGTACCGGCAGTTCGTACTTGGCGAGCGCTGGTGCCACAAGCGCGCAAAAGGCACCTACAGTAGCGGTCCCCTTCCTCAGGGTCGCATTCGACGGCAGCAAGCCGTCCTTTGGAAACGGAGGCTCCCTCCATGGAGGCGGGTAAAGGAGACGTTGAAAGAGCCTATGTACCCAGCACACGGGGTGCGGCTGTGGGTGATCGGGCCTCGCCGGGTTGCTTCCCAGCAAATCACTACTGCTGCCCCAGCAAATCACTACTGCTGCGGCAGGCTTTCCCCTTGGCTGCAAAATGCCACTGAGTCTCTGCTCCCCTCAGCTCAACCCTGCGCAAACATCATACAGACGATAGAAATTACGATGAGAGAGTGCGATGCGCGCCTCTTGGATGAGAATTACGAGGGTATCTGATTGGCCGCCAATGCGCTCGTGACAGCCGTCGAACCCTTCCGACCCTGACACTAAGAAGGTCAAAGACCTGAGTATGTGAATCGGCGGCAGCCCTGTCCCGGAATATGATGTATAGTGGTCGCATAACGTGCCTGCTCTACAATGGCCTGCGTCACGTCCAGATCCCCGATCCGTTGCCTGCTGTGGGTCAACCGGGGAAGGAAATACAAGCGCTCAGCCCATTCTTCTGACCCGGCCCGCGTTTAGGTGTAATCCCGCCCTCTCTTTGATGTTCCCGTTTTGCCGCGGCCGCTGTATCGTCTCGAGACGTTGTGTGCCTTCCCCGAAGCCGCCAGCCCGAGCGCATCGCCGCGTACTATGACAGCGCCGCGAGTTTCTTCCTGACGGCCCGCTGTCTTTTCTGCCCTCTCTAACGGTGCCATACTCGCCCCTTCCTCGCTTCGAGTCGCATGAGTGGCCTTGTGCGCGGATGGAAGCTACTGTGCTCTCTACAGCCCCCCGTCCCCTCCTATCGCTCAAGGGTCCTGGCAATTCATCCCCGCCCGCTGGTTGCCCCGGACCTGACTGTGACCGCTTGCCGGGACACCTAGAATTCTCTTTATGAAAGCGCCGACTCGTTGTGTCCTAGAGTGACGGGGATCGTCTGGGCGACGAACACCTCCTACAACACCTCGGCCGATTGGCGTCAGCCTGCCACGTATGGGGAATGGGCGGGCCAAGAAAGGGACCATGGCAGTGCTGGAGGCAGTTGCGCACCGCGGCCTTGGCGATTGCCGTAACGCTGGCGTCGGTGTCAGCAACGGTCTGCAGTATCAGCTCTGGAACAACCTCTGCTCCTTCACCAGAGCCGCCAAGCCTGGCAAGCTGACAGGGGAACAGGAGGAGTCGTCGTGGTGGCTCAACAGCATTTGGAACATCACCGCGAATGAAGAGCGGGCGGGGGGGACGCATCGCGAACGCGCCGGATCCATCGGCTTTCGGGGCCGGTCGTGGGCCCGGTTGCGGGTTCGTGGGTTACTGAGCAGAGTCTATCCAGATCTTGTCCAAGGGATCGGCCGCGAAAGGCGCCAAAACAAGGAACACGCAGTCGCTTGCTGTGGTCGAGGAAGCAAAGAAACGAGAGAGGCACAGAGTTTTACGTGCAATTCAAGTGGCTGAGTGCCGTGCCACATACTCGGTGCCACATGATTGAAAGAAGCGACTGAGCGAGGGACTGCGTGTTTTGGGGTTGGCCTTGAGAACGCAGCCGCGAACAGCGTCCGGCGACATTTGGCAGCGCGTACGGACGGCCTGGACTGATTGGGCCGCAGACGTTGGAAAGCGCAAGTACGCATAGAGTATGCTCATTACGCCTGGCGACGACCGGCCAACAAGGCAATATCCGGAAATAGGGATGTTTATTTCCAACTCTTTCGCGTAACATTGTGACGAGACATGATGTGTGTGCTATCCGAACATTACGAACTTGCCAATTCCCATCATATCTTCAAGACATCGGGCAATTGCTCTCGCTCCCCGCAGGCGGGCGGCCACCCTTACATTCGTCCAGGCGGCGTCTCTTCAACGACTGACCGAAGTGGTGTCGGTGGCCTGCCGGCCCGAGCTCACAGTGTACAGACGCGGGACAGCGAGGCACGGCACAGCACTATACAATACGGTTGGCAGAGCACGCCTGCTCGGGCAGTCGCTCCAACGTGATAGCAAGCCTGAGTGTCCCGACTTCCGACCCCCGACCTCGCTTCGGCCTTCCGCCTCTCACCGCCAGCCCAAATTGGCCCTATGCTTGCGCTTCGCTCGATTCACCGCTGCTGACAGGGCATCGTCCAGCCATTGATGTTTTCTTCTCAGCCTCCAGAGGCGCATCCCCAGACAGCTGGGTGTGGGCTCGGCGCACGCATAATGGCTGGCATAACCTGAGCAGATGGCACCCCATGGCAATCCAGCCAACTTTTGCTCACACAACCACCTATCCCGGTCTCGGAGGAAAGACAAGTCGACACCCGCGACGCCCTCTAACAGGAGGCCTCCCCCCCCACTGGGCTGCCCACCGCTCGTAGAAGCCGGCCGCTTTACGGGCGCCGGAGAAGCTGCTGGAGGCGTCGCCCAAGCGGGGGTCAATAGCGGGAGCGGTACTTCGGTGTCGAGGGGGGGATCTAGTGATGGCGTCCAATACCAACGTTGTGACGACAGGTGGCCTTGTCGGACGGACGAGGACGCGGACTGTTGAGGCTGCTCTGGCGCCGTTGTCGGCGCGAGTCCCTCCGCGAGCTCCAGAGGCCCCTGGGTTATCGCTTGCCAAGGCTGGACCGACGGTAGAGACCACTCATGTATCGGCCTTGGCGTGACTGGTGGCGAAGGGGGAGCTGCGGTCGTCGACGTGGTGGGTGTGCAGGTTAAGAGTAGGTCCTGCCTTGACGGCAGCACCGTTGGGGACGGCTTCTGGCCAATCCACGGCGCCGATTGTGCGTCGTGCGCCGTTGACGGCGTTGAATCCGTAAATGCTGCCGAAGAAAATGGTGGCAGTGCGTCTTGACACGCGAAGCTAATGTCCGGCGCATCGAGCGGCGACAACGCATGGCGATCGAGCCACGGGCCAGGCGGGCAAGGCGACCTGAAGGGAGGGGTTTCGGGGAGTGTGGGCGCCGCGGTATAAGACGCCTTTGCGTTGTACGCCGGCAGCGGCTGGTGGCAAGAGGGGCAAGTGCTCGCTGGCGAGTAGTCTGTGAAGGAGGCAGTGTCGTTCATCGTTGCACCGTAACCGCGCGATGCCTGCAACACGCACAACCGAGTCGGCATGCACCGCGGCACCGTACACCAACGACCACCGATTATTGGCAGAAGACGTCTGGCCCAAGACCGACGCCACGGCGCACCTCCCCATATTCATACCTTCTCACAGAGCTGCCATCCGCAACGCAGCAGATCGAGCCCGATGGCGGCGTCGCGTGAGTCGTTGGGGAACTGCTTGCTCAAGCGCGTCTGCACGGCGACACCGCGTCCGCTCCCACAAGGCTGCGGAACAAGGGCGGCGTAGGCAGCAGCCAACGCGACAGGAAAGGATCGCGCAAACTTACAGTACTTAGCACCTCTGGTGGTGAACACCCACCATAACGCGCCGAAGTCGATCATTACGTCGCAAATGTCGCACCGTACCGGGGCCGGTTCAGACGCGAAGAGACTCGCCATAGGCCAAAGCCACGATGCACAAAGGTCAACGGGCAGTGTTTCGTCGTCGGCCCAAGCCACAGGGACGCGCAGAGTCCATGCAACGGCGTTGGCGCTTCAACACATGCCCACAGAAAGGACAGGAGTTTACGGCATACGAAGCGCGCCAGGCGGCCTTGCTATGCACCGGCCCTGGCTCGACCTGGACAGAGATACTGGCACATCGCAAGCGGCGTGCCGGGACCGGCGCGTTTCGCCCCAGCCAGGGAAAGTATGGCGCCATCGCGTGCAGGCCACGCACGATGTGCCAGGAACAAGGTACAGTGCAGTACCGAACGGCCGCCGCCCGAATCCTCTTGGCCGCGCCCGGGGCTGTTGCTTCAGAGCCGTCCTTGACGCGATTTTTTGGCCGCAACCTGTCGGCAGCACGCCGCTGGGCGTTGGTGTTGCAGCCATATACGTCCTTCACCTATTTGTCATAGCTAAGTGGGGCATGGGTTGGTGGAAGGCGATCCACGGTGGGCGTCGCGCAGCCGTACCGCGTTTCTGGTGTCACAACCTGGAGCTCCGCAGCGAATGCCCCCGGGACGCCGCTCGCCAGGCGGCCGGTCTACGGCAGGGACACGCTGCACAATCTAGTAGACGCTGCTAGGGGGTGGAACGGTATGTTGCATCGCGCAGCCAAGGGGGATCTGTCGCTTTGGCCTCTGCGAGAGGTTCAGGTCGCAAGGCCGAATTCCGGACGTCCGCATCGAGCCGAGTGCCGCTTCTGACGCAGCCAGTGTCCTGCACCCAACAATTCTCGAATTGCCGCACCTGAACTACAGTACTGTAGGAGACATAACCGATCCGTGGACTCAAAAGGACCCAGAGCGAATAACGCAACATACTTTGCCCCAAATCCTTGTCATAAACAAGTCCGCGATGGGGCCCTTTTGCACGAGTACCGCGTCGCCCGGCTCCGGAGAGACTCGGTTATGTTCCGCGCTTTCTCCCGCGCCAATAGGAACCTCGTATACAAGTAATAACAGGCCTACCTGGGCGTCTGGACCATCCAATCGATGGTCGCAAAGGCGAAAGAGACCTCGAGTTCCATGATTCGCTAGGCAAGCCAGACCGGGCAGATCATGCCTGGATGTCTGCTGGAGCAGCCAAGGCTTCACGTAGGCGATGGTAGCGGTGACGGGGCTCGACAGATCCCTCCCCGAATGCTGTCAATGGTACTGTACCTCAAAGGAGAGTGACGCCGTTTGCATCTCATAAAGCGCGCTTAAGTGCTGCATACGCGGTGCACGTGGGGCGCCTCCGTCTGCCGCGACCGGGCGGGCGTTGCGGCGGCCAGCCAGCTTTGGAGGCCATGGCGCTGTTCTAAAGTCCCAGCGAGGATCGAGCATATAGAGGAGGGGTTCTGGGCTGTACTACACTGTGCAGCAGTGTTGAGGGCGCTTTGGGGCTAGAACAGGTTCGTGGCCGTTGTGTGGCATGCACACCAGGTGCCTTCGCCCCAAGACAACATGTGTTCTGGAATAACGCACCGCAAAGACGAATCGCAGATTTGCTTTGGGTTAGGCGTCATCAATTGCTGGCGCGCGGTGGTGACCATCACTGTAGACCGACTCCTACGACAAGGCATGCGCAACGACCTGTTTTATCTGCGTCCGAGGCCCCGGGCGCGCGCGAGCAGCCGGCCTCCTGTCCCAGCCGCTCGATGCTGCCGCGGGGCTCATATTCCGATGCGACAGACGACGCGACTCACCCCCAGGCACCGGAAGGTTGCGCACGGCTGCCCCTTGCTGCCAATCCGGCGTCATCGAGAAACGCCCTCTGCAACGCTGGTACCTCCGCAACGTTCGTGCGGGGCGATTCAGACGCAAGTTCAAAGGCTGGTGGGACGGCTCTATCGCCGAACTTGATGCCGCCGCACTGGCTTGACTCTTGGCAGGACCCGTTCAACGATCTCTGTCAGCATGCTTAGAACCATGATGAGTGCGCAACGCGTATGGTATGGCAATGCGACGATTTAGCTCTGATTGGACTTTAGACCCGAGTCACGCGGCTTTTCTTCGAAGCCACTCGAAAGTCTTGTCGCCAACTTCCGCGGTGACATGGATGATCGGCGGACTCGGCCGCACAGCAACCTAGCACTGTATCTGGCTCGACAGCATCCTGTCCAGCGAGGCGACTGCTCCGTGGAGCAGAGGGCTGGTACCCAGCCACGGTCTGCCCGGAGGTTCCTACAATCATAAGATAACAGGCTTTGCGGGCTCATTCGACGGCATAGACAAGACGCTCAACGCTAAGATGCGGCACGCATGCCCAGTTTGGTGAACAGCGCCGCTCAGTGCCGACACCGTGAGAGTGGGCATGCCGTCGCGTCGCTGGAGTTTTTGCCTTCGATCCGGGGGAGCCCGTGTCTCCGCTTGCTCGGCGTGTGTTGAATGTGCTTCGCAGACCGAGTTCCCAGATCGAAGCCACGCGATCGCGGCGCGGAGGAGGACGACCCTCGTTTTCCGTCATAAAGAAGACCTGGGCCAGAGGTACTGGTTTCCACGGCAGGGTCGGCCGGACCCGGACCAGTCGTACCGCAGAAGAGAACTCCTGCCTCCTGCGCCAGACCCAATCTTCCTCTTTCCAGAGTCGGTTTAACAACGCCAAGCTTCCAGGGAAGCCCCGTGAGTCCCTTAATGAACGATGATTGTCTGCTCAGAGGGATTTCTTACTTTGGCAAGGAGCCTTGGGGTACATTCACGCCAAATCTGAGGATAGAGCCAACGGCCAAGGCCGTGTGGGCGGTGAGGCACCACCGAGTGTTATTCGCTGCGTTTCGGTCCTACTCCAGAGCAAATCGCGCAAGTTTCAATACAATTGCCATTCTAACATGCCTCCCTGGCCTGCCGCCAATCTTCACTCCAGAGCAGACGATGGGTACAGTAAGCAGGTGCTTAGCTGTAAATCTGGCGTTTGTCGAGGGGCGGTCGCTTGCCGACCACCCCCGTATCTCAAGTGAGAACTGGAGCAAAGAAGGAGGCTTCTTTCCAGGATCGCAGAGGCTCTGTTTTACGAACGCTGGCCTGCCTGCACAAGGTGACTTCAAAGCTTGGTGGCAAGTCCGACCCGTGATCACAACAAGTTTTTATTGTTTATACCATGCTAGAACGCATCCTCGTCCGCCAAAAGGGCTCTTTCGTCATGGCCCAATCCCCCATTTGTGTCAAGCAAGTCGACCCCAGACTCGTGGCTTTGGAGTCCTCGATGCTGTTCCGAGCGGTCTTCAGTGCCTCTCAAGCGTGATTCTGCGACACTGAGACGCTCTTCGACGCGCCTCAAGCGCGCTTCCAGATTACCCACAAGCTCTTCCGCGACAATCGAGCGACTCGTGACAGTAGTATCATAGCTCGTTGTCATGGTCGTCTTTTCGGAATGATCTGGTCCATGGTCATGATTTTTTCTGACCGTGAGCTGCCACTTCCCGGCATGACGAGCGGCAACCGCTCGAAAGGGACAGCTGATCTTCGTCCCAGTCGAACCACCCTTATCTTTGACTGTATGCGGTTTGCAATAGAATTCCAAACGTCTATATTCGCCGCCGCTCGGGTTCGAGGACCTTAATATGCCGATCCTTCCTTCAGTTTGACTCGATAGAAACAGCCGCAATTCGTCTTTGTCGTTGAAGACTCGCGTCGGGGTTGCGAGAGGACCCCTCTGCGGTCGACGGGGCTGCGGTCGACGGGGCTGCGGTCGACGGGGCTGCGGTCGACGGGGCTGCGGATGGCTGGTTTGCGTATTGTGGGTCTGCGAGATGCGCGCCGATGACCGAGTTGTCCGTAACATGATGAAAGTGATGCAAGGACATTGATCGTAGCAGAAGGGTTGAAAGGGCAGGCCACTCTGTCTGCGGCGACGATACTGGAGGTTGCCCCACTTGAGTGCGTGAGACCCACATGGAAGGGCCAATCAATAGCTGCCGATCCCAGCCTCCTACTATTTGTTGGGCTGGGTTGCCCGCGGAGATGCCAGTGGCTCGAGAGGACAGGTATGGACGTAGTTTGGCTCAGGGATGAGAGAAAAGCCACAGTAAAGCGCAAGATTAAAGGCCGTGATTCGAGCGTCCAGAGTCCTGCTACGGCGACTGGAGCAATACCTGCTGCCCATGGCACGAGGTCGTAGGTGTGGATTGAGTCAGCCAAGAAGGGCTGATGCCGCTCGCGGCCCACCCACCCTCGTTGTTGTCACGCCACCCGGTGGCTAACGTATTTAATCGTTTCTCGAGCTACTGTCATGTCTGGTGTTCCGTAAGATTGCAGTGCGCCGTGGTGTTCAATTTCTGCATTGTAATAGGGAATGTTTCGCCGTAGGGCGTCCACGAGAACGACGTATGCAGAGCCCGATTCATCTAACGAATAAGGGTGGCCGTCCAGCGATGGCTGGAGGCCTTCTGCTCGAACCACACGGCAGACCCATGGGGAGTCGACAGACCCGCAGATCCTTCCACAAGCGGGCCGGCCGCACGGCTCTCCACGATCGCCAACCCCACTCCCCTGGTAACGCAGCTCTCATGCAGCAGGTGATTGATTGCTGCAAAGGCTCGGTGGCGTTCGTGATAATGACAGAGCTTGAGTCTCCAGCCCAATAGAACAGAGTCACCGCGCTGGGATCGAAGCCACATCAATCGAGCGCCAGACGGGAGCGACGTAACGGAGCAAGGCTCGTGTCTGAGCACACGTCGAAGTTTGGAAAACGAGCACGGACTCGAGTCTCAAGGACACGAAGCATCTGGCGCATGCATCTGCTAAGGGGCTCGGAGTCGGCTATAAAGCCCCAGCGGCTTCAAGTGTCGACACTGGCCACCGCAAGGCAGCTGTTCACGGCCACGGCCATCCCGGTCATAGATTATCCCTCTAACGTATGAATACACGCGTGCCGATACAAAAAGCTGGCCTGATCAATCGAGTGCGAAGATTTGGCGCGGAGGCAATTATCGGAACGTTTACGACGGTGGTCATCAGCATAGCCGAAGCGGAGGGGCATTCCTAGCGGCCAAGAGCATTTCTGGAGATAAGTTCGAATCATTGCGCCGCTCGATTTCCTTTCACCACAAAATCAGTATTGTGCGGCGTCGTGCTGCCGAAACTGGCGTAGGCCGGCAACGACGGCATTCGAGGTACTACTGTCTCCCAGAAGCCCCGAGACCGTTTGCCGCCTGCGGAGGATGGTGGGGCCGTCGTGGTTGGCGAAATGTTGCGGTCGGGAGGAGGTTCGGTCGACAACGCTCCCCGAAGTTCTTCAGTGCCGGCTTCGCTGGCCCAAAGTTTGTCAGCAACTCCGCAATCACCTGTACAGACAGCGCTAACACCAAACGTACATTGGTTGGCTCTGGGCCTTGGTTGGAGTTCGTTGTATTATCTTGGGCGGCCTACCCGGAAACTGTAAGTGTCTGGTCATTTGGGATCAGTACTGTAGCTGTCCTACCTCCCCAGGCGATCAGCCAGAGACGCCATGCCCGATCCTTTAGGTATTCCGTGTCGTTTTAATGGCGAAACATGACCCCCGGCCGGTCTTGGCACACCGCCTCCGTATGTCATGCGACGGCGTTTCTTTGGTCGTTCCCGTGGAAGTACCGTCCTTGCGGCTTCGCCGCTCGGACTACCGAGAGCCGAAGGGTCAAGCTCGACCACTACCTCTTGTGAGGGCGGTGTGCTCTGTGTTGCGTTCTGGGTTGTATCCCTATCGTTGCGCTCCTCATGATTTTCATCCACGGCGAGATCAAGTCCGCCTTGGGTTCCTGCGGTATGGCTGCCCACTTCCTCGACAGTACCTGTCCCTGCACGGTCGCGCTGAGATTCTGACGCTACTTCTTCGGGAGTACGTTCGGGCAGATCATGGTCTGCAACTTGGGCTGCGGTGGCGCCATCTTCTGCGGCATGGGAGCTCCCCGAGACAGCCCTCGCAGACCTCTTTCGCCCACGGCGCGGGAGTTCCATGGTCACAGTGTTGGGTGGAGACACCTCCTCGCCGCCAGCAATGGCAACACCGTTCTCCCCGGTCGCTTCGGTATGACGCGCCGCCCCATCGTCCGCGACGTCGTCCGGCCCTGCTTCGACTTCCGCTAAGGGGCTGGTGTTTCCATCAGAGCCTCCGTGTATTTCTCTCGGGTTGCGTGCCACTTCGTCATGATTTGTGTGTGAACCCAGCTCAACATCCTCTTCCCACTCTTTGACTTCACGCTCAATGAAGTACACTCTGTCCATATCGCGAACCAGCTGGAGCTGTTGCGTCACGCGCCAACTGCCAGCCGCAAGCTCGAGCAAGACTAGATTGCTGAAATCCGGTCTCCATCGGAACCGCACCCCGACTGCTTTGTCTCGCCCAACTTTGCCCTGCAGATTAAACTGCAAGTTGCCCATAGGCAGAGCAGACGTAGCATCCCACTCCGTGGTAGTCGTCTCGTCTTGGTTTTCGTCATCAAGATCCATCGGTTCGATCATGAGATAATGAGGCTCAACCAGGAATTCCTTGGGGTCCTGTACGCAAACAGTTTGGAACTCGGGTTCAAAGTCGTATGAGCTCGCCCTCTTGAACTGGAGCAATGTGCGAGACTTCGGTCTTCGTGGCCTCCCCGTAGGCCGCTTTCGTCGTCCACGGCCCAAAACCGCCCGGCGACTGTCAATGAGAATGCCGAAGCAAGACTTGTGGAACTCTTTTATTGGATCATCGTCATACGGCAGACAGGCACCCTTCGCGACTGCATCACTAGTTCTTATGTTAACGAGCGTGCATTTCGACTAGTAATATGGGGCGCAAACCTTGCGTCGTTGGGCTTCAAGAACACGATTTTTGGCGCTGTGTGGGTTGCAGCGTCTCCCGACTGCCTTTCGGTCTCTGACTCTAAGCGCTCCCGCCAGAGACGTCTGATGCTCTTGTTGGTGAAAGCCGCGCCGCTGACCATGATCAGGTCTAGATTCTCGATTTGCGATGCTTCTTTCACCGCCAAGTCCAGCGGACCTTTGTAGGCACGTTCCGTTATCTGCTCGAAGAATTCTTTCGATATGATCGAGCCACTGTGAGCAAAGGGTTCAAACCTCTCGCCCATCTTGAAAAAGTGTAGTTGGGCAAGGTGATACATTGCCGCAGCGTCTCGATCATTCGCACACCTTGTCCGGCAGAGTTCGGCCAGTCTATTCCAGATGTAGCTTGTGCCGCCACTACAACCTTCTGCTTTGGCGATCTCGATTCCTCGGCACGTGCCTTCGACGAGAAACAGCTCGACGGGTGCCATGTCCTGTCTGCGCGTTAGGTTCGGCACAACTCGGTAGTGTCAGTGGTGGGTACAAACAGTAGTGCCCTCGCCTGCGTCTATGAACAATGCCTAGCGTTTGGGTCAGAGAAGCACTGTACATGAGAAGCCTGGGAAGGGAACACGGCACACACCCTGACATTCGACTTCCCCAAAACGCCTAGCAGCTCCTTGCTCCCTTGAATGTGGTATCGCAAGGCGCTCATAGCCTCATTTTCGGGCGTGACGACGTTCGGGAACCCCACCTTCTCTATCATGTGCAGTAGTTGGCGCTGTATGGCATCCCCGTGAGAGTAGTCCCCGTGAGAGTATGACGCATCTTCCGATGCCGATGACCAAATATACGGAATGTTGATTCGCGTGCTAACGACTCGTTCCCAAGGGTCGCTATCGGTAGGGTACTCAGCGGCCAAGAAAGCGTCGACCTTTTCCTTGACAACGCCCAGCAATTGCAGCCGCACTTGGTCCGGATCGACTTTGTATTCCTTGCAGAGTTCCAAGAAATGAGCTGCATCGCCTGCTTTGGACTGCGTAGGGTCTAACGAGAGTTTGGCACCAGACGAGGTTGTGAGGACATCCCATATGGACTGCTCGTTGGCGGCCCGATTTCCAAGGAGTTTGTATTGCCCAAGGCCCGGCCCAAACTGCACCGCAGAGGGAAATTTGGTGGACGGCACAAGCTGGCCCTCCGAGTTGAAGAGCTCCCGCATCGGAACGGACGTCGAGTCAGCTTCATCGGCTCTCCCGATGGCAACTCGGATGCCACTTGTGCCGAAATCGATGCCGACCCGTAGGTCCTTCGAGGTGGGCATCGCGTCTTCCATATTCGGATCGGCGGGTTTCGCGTGAGGCGACGATGACACGGGGAGTTTGGTTGCGCCTGACCGTCGTGCCAGAAGATGGACGGTGGTGCATCATACCGCAGACTTGTTGTTGGAAGCGTCACGAAAATATGATTGTGACACGCGAAGGCTGGGCGACATTTGTCGCGCCCGCGCCGCCTCCGCGGCGCCCAATCATTCACTACCATTATTTGTGGGCCCCTCGAGTGGGTGCGCGGCAGCACGGGATCACTGCTGGGGCGGATGATTCGTCGGGACGCTGAACCTTACTTCTTGCGCCTACAAGGTGGGGTGGAGACGGTGGTCTGCGGCACTCCAGCAATAGAATTGCAAGTCACTGGGGCTTGCGGCCTTCAGTACTGTACAGAAAAGCGGAGTAAAAGTTGTTTACCTCGCTACAGGAAGCACTGGCAGGCTATGGTCCATATATGTAACAGTACAAATGTTTCCGCGGCCGTACTCCTCGAGAGACAATTCATTCTCCTTGCACTTGCTGAACTCTATAGAGGATACTTATGCTGTCCAGCGATGACAATCCCCAGCGCGTCGACGACCAGAAACACACGCACAGCTGGCCAGCCCGAGATTAAACATTCCCCAGCGCCGAAATCCAGAGTGAGAGCGCGAACCGTACAAGCATGTCTACGCTTGCTAACCTCGGCCGGCAACAACGCGAAGAGTTTGTGTAGGCTAAGCAGGATGTCATGCTGCCTGGCGGTCTCGAGTACGATCTTCTACTCGGCTACATCAAGCAGTCGGCTACAGCACAACACCGTATATGATCATGTGATCATGTGTCAGCTCGCTCATTATAAGACAAGGATGCGCCACATCATATCCGGCGCCCGTGGCATGTGCCCAGATATATCGTGATGATACGTAAACGAAGGCGTGACACGTAACCAACCAAATCAGAGCCTCCGTTGCAGTTGACCTACAGTGGTATAGTTCAGTTAGGCTCTTCCATGTACGCCTTCGGCAGCCCTTGTATGACGGCTTCACCACGATGATGCGAGGTCTATCCCTCCAGGGCGCACATAAAGGCAAATCAGTGCTACAGTACATAACAGACGGGCGTGCTGCAGTAGCAACCTTTTATGGTACCATCTACAAGTGCAGTACAGTATGCGTACAATCTGTTCTGCACTATGGAGCTCAAAGCCGGCGTCACCGCTCCAGAAGTACCCCGCGACATGCTCGAAGTATAGAATGCGGGCGACCATCTAGGGACAGAAGCTGGGCGACGCATCGCTATAACACAACCGCCCTGGGCATCCTGCACAGACTGCTTCTTCGCCCGCTCTGCTCCCTCTCACTCGGTAGACAGGCGCTCGAGTGATACTCTCGCGAGAGCCAAACTAACGGCGTATCGATGGCGTCGACAATGAGGGCATCACTGCCATGCTTGCCACTCCTCCGGCAGAGCCAGGCAAGTCAGCTGTACATACAGTGGTCAAAGCCTACCCCATCGCCAAAACTCCCTGCATACCATCCTAACCCGCGCTCGTCAAGGCTGAATCGGGACTGCATTGCCCTCATGGGTGCCGGAGATGAATCAGCTGGGTAGACGTTGAAGCGCATCGTTTCGCTTCATACCACTACACCCGCACGCATCAAGGGCGTGTGTTTGCAGCTCACTGCTACCATACGCGTGCCCTCGGCGAGAGGCCTCCGGCTTCGGCTGGTAAACTCCCTTATCCGAGTGTAGGTTTTGCTCGGTGGTCTTGCATCCCTTTTGGGACCCCCTCCACGGCGACATAGCCCAGTCTTCTGACCCAGCACAGGGCGTGTCGGGGCCCGTGCTATACGACAGATGAAACAGTGGAAGTCATCGATCGCAGCTGGGAACCAGCGTCGGCATGGCGTACAGAAATCACACTCCCCGCTGGAAGATACGAGTTTCCTTTCGAGTTGGTCTTCCGAGGAGACGCGCCCAAGGCGCTGACCGGTGTTGCTGAGGCGTCTGTCAGCTACCACCTCAAGGCCACAGTAGCAGCCTGCAGGAGACCGGCTGCTTCAGGACCTGAAATGCCGTAAGCATATGCGGGTTGTGCGAACCCCTGGATCCAGCGCATGGGCACTTTCCACACTACTTCCTATGAAAACACATTGCTTGAAAAGATTAAACTTACCGTCACATTGCCTCAGAATGCTGTTCTCTTTGGAGGATGTATAGCGGTGCAATTGCACATTAACACTCTGGTGAAAGGCCTACGTCCAGGCGAAGTGGCTGCCCAAATACTCGAGACCAGGGAGTGTGAGGTGCAAGGATCTATGGGCAGACGGAGGCAGCCATACCTTACACAACGTGTCCTCGGCGCTTGGCGCTGGAACGAGCTGGATACGTGGTGAGAGAGTATCGATATTGGGGGCGCGGAGGGCTGGGAGGCTGTTGGGCGAATGGAATTACTGCAGAAGCAGAGCGAGTGTGTTCAAGACATGGACTACAGCGGCACGCGTATTCGTATGCAAACTCATCACAAGGTCGAGCTCAGGATGGCGCTGGCTGTAGAGGACGGCCGAGTGTTTGAGATTAGCCACGAGCAATTCGCACTACGGGCGCCAAACACTAACAGGGTTGTCTCATCAAGATATTTAGCGCCTTGCCTTTTGCGGTGGGTTTTTCCCCAACTTGACGCTTGATCAAGACGGCAGTGTGGCTGGTCTCATGCCCGAGCAAACGTATATGTTTCAAGACTACTCGATACCGGCACCGAGGTATGGGGAGCATGAATTAGACATGCGTTTTGAAGAGATATGGATTTCCAAGGAGCATGCAACAACTTATGCAGTTATAAAGGACGTTTTGGTTCAGCTCATGAACATGATTCCGGGCGGCCCTCATCTGCACTTCACGTGGCAAACCTGTACCAGCCGCGCCACGCAGTAACGCCTGATGAGCCATGCGTCTTCAAGACTTAGGCCGTCGCTATCTTTTAGTAGGGATATAGGAAGCACAAAGCCTGAAGAAGTGTTGCATCAGTATCCTTTACGGCCAGGCTGCGAGATCACTCTCAGTATTGAATTGACTGCGTTTATGCACAGGGGCCCTGCTCTGTCGCTCCGTCTGTACTTTGCGTCAGACTGTTGCTACAGGTTGTGGTTAGTGCCCGGACCAAAACTACCTTGATACTGTAAAGTACCAAGATTGGGTACTCGTTCAGATTTGTCCAGAAACTGGTCGCATGTGGTCATCGGGCCTCCCGTTGCGTCTTGGTGGCTCTGAGAATAGTAAAGGGACGCAAAGCCAGAATTGTTCGCGATAAAAAGCGGCGCATGGATGCGATGTTTTACGGCCCGTACTGTACTGTACCTTTGACAGTGCATCTTATCCTCCGCCTGCCGAGGCTCTCATGTCGTCTGCGTGCCTAAGCACCTTCCTGCAGATGACCTGTGTGATGTTGCTCATGCCTTGCGACGAGCCGCACTGCCTCTGCTGGTGGTTAGTGCCAAGACTCGATGAGCAGGCGGTATGTTGCTTAGCAGCGACAGGACGCAGTGGACCTGCACGCGGTGTGGCGTCAGTAGCTGCGACGATTTCTATTGCATGGCTGCTTGACGCTGTTGGGAGTCAGTCGGGGGACGTTGACAGATGATTGCGCGCCCGGTAGGCCTCACCAACTCTCCACCTTGTCGCCTGCCACTGGTGAAGCCCATGAATTGCCAGCTCAGACAACATGCTGCGAAGTACGAAACTTTGGGCTCGTTTCTCGATACCTGGCTCAGCGGAGACAGGCCTCCTTACTGTATGGTGTTGGGCGTTGTACCGAATTATGGAGGCGATTGCCCCGACGTATTGCAAGGCTCCGATGGCTTAAGACAGCTGGCATTGTAAATAGCAATATACTTTTGTCTGCTTTGCGGTAATGAACCGGCTTCGGTCGCCCCGGACGCGTAATGTTGTGATGCAATACTTCTACGCTGTGACTCTGAGTCCGACGCCGTCTGTCGTGGACGACCGGCCCGGATTGCCCCTGCGACCGCCGGCCGGGCGCAGAGACGTCAGGCGGCCACCGTCAATGCCAACACCGGCGGCAATAACCATCGTTGCTCTCGAACGAGGGCGTGGTGGTTGGGGCTGATTGCAGGGGTGAGTGGATCTTGTTTGGGGGTGGGGGATGGGTTGCCTGGTGGATGAGCCATAGTCGCCATTGCCCTCTTCCTGCCTCCGTTTGCGCTATTACACGACAAGATAGTGGCGAGCCTTTGACTGTGGCAGCTTCGCGACGTTGGGCGTACGGCTTCTGAGCTATTGGTGCTCGTATATACAGTACCGTCCGGTAAAACACTCCGAGTTGAGTGTTCCGGGGACCGTTCCATGCATCCGGTATTGTATTAAGCAAAGTGTAAGATCTAGTATATGAAGCCCCCTCCTCGCCGCTATTTCGCAGTGTTCATCCGCGTACATTACCGACTCCCTTCTACAATTCACTGCCACCTTCGACGCCGAATCACGCTGCGGTTTCTCGACGAATGCACCCCGCTATATTCGAGTCACACCTGTTGTAACCGTAAGTTATCAACTAACCGGTTCGAACCGATATTCTTCTATGTGGGGTGCCCCAAGTGACCTCCCTGGTCCCCTTCTGACGATTTCGACATGGATGGGTGTCTGTACGCCATGATGAGGACCGTCAGTAGCAGACATAAGCCACACTGGGCTCCGAATTGTGGAAGTCTTTTCACAATACAGCCAAAGAGGAGACCGAACGAGACCGCCGATGCCAAGACAGAGGTAGCAATGACCAATATCACGCAACGCCGCTGCTCAGGTCTAGGCTTTCGGCGACAGAAAATGGCTTGTTGGACTGTGCTGAAGACAATATGGGGTGCCATTGCGGCAGCCCATAGAGACTCTCTGCCGCTCGATACTACATCGGCTACGCCGACACCGAACACTAGAATTTCTAGCGTAAGTCCTACCCAGAATAATGTAGACCAAAGCCAAGACAGTCGTCTGTCTCCTGAGGGGGCGTGGTAGA